TTTTTTTGAGATGGAGTCTTGCTCTGTCGCCAGGCTGGAGTGCAGTGGCGCAGTCTCGGCTCACTGCAACCTCCGCCTCCTGGGTTCAAGCGATTCTTCCGCCTCAGCCTCCCGAGTAGCTGGGACTACGGGCGCTTGCTACCACACCCGGCTAATTTTTGTATTTTTAGTAGAGACGGGGTTTCATCATGGCGAGAATGGTCTCGATCTCTTGACCTTGTGATCCGCCCGTCTCGGCCTCCCAAGGTGCTGGGATTACAGGCGTGAGCCACCGCGCCCGGCCCAGAATAGTCTTAAGTATATTTCATTTAAGCTGGTGTTAGATTTAATAGGCATTTCTCAAATGCCCATAGGAGTGGGGAAATGTGAAGGGATAGGGAATGAAAGTAGAGCAGCTAGGCACGGTGGCTCACGCCTTTGATCCCAGCACTTAGGAGACCAAGGTGGGTGGATTGCTTGAGTCCAGGTGTTGGAGACCAACCTGAGCAGCATGGCGGAACCCTAAAAATCTCTACTAAAAATACAAAAAAAAATTAGCTGGGTATGGTGGCATGCACCACTAGCTACTTGGGAGACTGAGGTGGGAGGATCGCTTGAGCCTGGGAGACAGAGTTCGCAGTAAGCTGAGATCTCACCATAGCACTCCAGGATAGGTGACAGAGTGAGACCCTGTCTCAAAAATTATACACACGTGCACACACACACACACACACACATATTTTGAAGGCAGCTTTTCTTTATTCACCTATCAGCAAAGCCTCAGTCTACTGAGGAGGGAGAGACATACATAAATTCACATGCTTTGGAAATACAGATGACTGGGCCAGGTGCAGTGGCTCACACTTGCTGTCCCAGCACTTTAGGAGGCTGTGGCCGAGGATCTCTTGAGCCCAGGAGTTCGAGACCAACCTGGGCAACAGGTAAAACCCTATCTCTACAAAAAATGTAAAAGTTCACCGGGTGTGGTGGCACTTACTTGTGGTCCCAGCTACTTGGGAGGCTGAGGTGGGAGGATTGCGTGAACCCAAAAGGTTGAGGCAGCAGTGAGCTGTGAATCCGCTACTTCACTCTGGCCTGGGCCCACAGAGCTGAGACCTTGTCTCAAAAAAAAATAAAAGGAAATGCAGATGAATAAACAGTTGTTCCCCAGGAGTACGAGTTAGGACCAGGCTGTTGAGAAGCAGTTGAAGTAGGCTTGAGGCAAGGGCAGGAAATTGCTAGGTGATCAATGATACACTGGGATGGGGACCAGTGAAAGTGTGAGCAATGAGCACAGGCAAGAGAGTAGATGCTGCAATGTGAGGAACTATTTCTAACCATGTAATCAGAGGTCGGAATGACTAGCAAAATGAATATAGAGGTGCAAGGCTAGATTTAAAAGAGTAAGCTAAGAACAGACTGCAGTGGGCTTTTGAATGCCTGTTAAGAATGTAAATATTTTTTTCCTGAAAACATTAGAGACTTTTTTAAAAAAAAAAGTTTAAAAATCTTAAAAGGTTTTTAAAACCTTTTAAGTTGCTAAGAGTTTACAATTTTCATTGAAAAATAGGAAAATTGGCAAAGCATACACACAAAAAAACCACACCCATAATTCTACTAGTGAGAATTGCTTAGATATTTAATATTCTGGCTTGTTTTTCTGAGCTGTTTGAAAAAACATACTTGATCGCATAATGTATAGTCACTCTGTATCCTGTTTTGTTGGGTTATACATAGGTATTTCCTTCATGTCAATTCAAACTTTCCGTAAGCCTAATATTATCTGGCATCAGGAACACTTAATTAAAGCATGGAAGTGACATGATGGCACATGTGTGGGTTTTTGAAAAATGAGTCAGATGAAAGGGAAAACAGATGGAGCAGGGCATGCAATTAGGAAGCAACTGCACTGGTCCAGGTATGAGATGTGAAGGGGGCCTGAAGGAGGCAGAGGGTGAGAGACAAGGAAGATTTTGAGGACCTTGTGGCTAGATGTGTGGATTAAGTCAGGTTCAACTTCTAGGCTGGATGAATTGGCAGGCGGCGTGCCATTGAATGAACTACAAGAGAATGGAAGGCAAAACCTATTTTGTGGGCAAAAAAGTAAGTTATATTTTGACATACTGTATTGAGGGGCTTTTTGTAAGTCCCCAGGTGTAGATATCTTACAAAAATAGAATATTCTGGGGGTGTGGTGGCTCAGGCCTGTAATCCCAGGACTTTGGGAGGCCAAGGCAGGCGGATCAGCTGAGGTCAGGAGTTTGAGACCAGCTTGGCCAATATGGTAAAGCCCTACCTCTACTAAAAATATAAAAATTAGCTGGGCATGGTGGCAAGCACCTGTCGTCTCAGGGCAGGAGAATTGCTTGAACACTGGAGATGGAGGTTGCAGTGA